ATCTATCTATCTATCTATCTATCTATCTATCTATCTATCTATCTATCTATCTATCTATCTATCTATCTATCTATCTATCTATCTATCTATCTATCTATCTATCATCTGTCTGTCTGCCTGCCTGCCTATATAATATATACACTTGTTCTGTCAAGCCAATGAAGATTTTTCAGCCCTAATGACTGGTGTTTATATGAAGTTCGTATAAGTTGCCAAGGCTAATTGTAGCTAATTGATGAGGGGCATGGCACAACTCATATATGTGCAGCTGAAGACATGGCCAGACCTGTGACCAAGACACACCATGACAACTTGTTGATTAGCTGTGATTAGATGTGGCAAGTTACACAAACCTTACGCAATCAAAAATAGGATTCTGGGCGATATCGTTTGGAAAACTGAATGTTTAAAACTTAATTTCTCTGCAGTGTTCATCTCCTATACCCATATATTTAAAACCTTTTAGTAGTGGGGCAGAGTACATTTTCTGTGGCTCTGCAGTGTTCATCTCCTATATTTAAAACCCCTATATTAAAAACCTTTAAGTAGTGGGGCAGAGTACATTTTCTGTGGCCCCCATCTCTTTGACATGTTTATGTGAATATATTTTTGCTTGTGTTTTGTTGTAGCTGTTAACAACAGCAACACTGTAAGCCGAGGGCCTTGCATTTTATATGTATTTGTTGTATGTGTTCAATCACACCTTTGTCAGGCCCCTAATTAAGTTAAGTGTGGCTTTAATTTGAGAACTCATTTGAAACGACCTCTCTAAAATGAATCAGGGGAGTTACAGCTGGCTGTTTGTTTGTTGAGTCACACTGCTAGCTCATGGCTGGTTTCTCCCATGTGGGCAATAAAATGATTGCTTCTATAAAATATAAAAAACAAAATAAAGTAAAACCCACCCGTCCTGTTTTTAATTTATGGCACAAAAAAGTTTCCAGTGCATAAACAATGCAACCATACAGGACAAGAGAATTTTCCAAAATAAATAAATAAATTTTAAAAAGCAACAAAGTTCCTCCCCCTGAGGGAAAATATAAAAGTGAGGTTACCTGTGCAAAACCCACTTGGGAAAAAAAATCTATTTTCAACTCCCTTTTATCGGCTGACAACCATGAATTACTGTATAAAATAACAGAATTGTGGGTTGCTCATTGGAAGGTTGGGAGTTACTGAATTTGTAAATCTGACTGCAAAAACATCTCTCTCTGAGAAAATGTGGTTTTTGGAGGAAGTATGGGTTAATTGTGGGGAGCAGCCATGCATCTTAATGTCTAGCTTGACCTTTACTCCTTTTTGGAGTAGACCTATCTAGGTCCATTCATTGAGTACATCCATTTCAGTGAATCTACTCTAAGCAGGACAACGCCTGGGTCCAACCCATGGTCCTCCTCTTGACACCATCACAAGCAGTACAAGCGTCCATTCCTTTGAAAGCAGGCATGACCTCTATAGTCACTGCTCATTTGTTCCCTTGATTTCCCTTGATTTCCCTTGAACTCCCTGCTTTACAGATAGTCCATAGGAGTAAAATGAGCATGTGTCACTGGCAGCAAAGTGACCTGATAAATTTGCCGTTTGGTGCCTTTCATGTGACTATATATCATCACTGAAATACATATAGACCCACCTTGTGGAGTTGGGTGACTAATCTCACAGGTATAGTGAGTTTGTTCTTTTAGTCTGAACTTTAAAAGAGCTTATCCAAAGTGCAGAACCAATCCACAACATCAGAGCCCACACCTGCATGAACTAGTGCTTGTGTCATAGATCACACTTTGAAGCTCCAATCTTGCCTCTCTTTCCCTGGTGGTCCATTTCTTTCCAATCTTCATTTCATGCGCTGGTAGAACTGCTGGATAGCTCAGAGGTTTAGGGATCTTGCTGCAGTGCCAGAGGTTGAGAGTTTGATTCCCTGCTGTGCCTTCTTCACAGGGAACGGATTCAGTGATCCATCCCTATGGATCATGGGGAATAATCTAGCTCTGCAGTTCAGTACATGGCACCATTTTGAGCTGCTCTGGGACTGCTACATGGCACCATACTGTGGGCTTCTCCTACTCTGCCCCTGTGCCCCACCCCATCCCTGTGTTGCATCACAGAGCTTGCATGTGACACATGGGCTGTGATATTTGCCTCACCCTGGTTGCCGTCCACCCATACTACACCACTAACAGGGTGGACACTTGATGTGGAGGGTTGAGGACTTTCAAAGTTCATGAATGGGCATGTGCAGCCTCTAGACCCCAGAAGATCACCCATCACAATCAATGCTTTCAGTGCCTGTAGGGACGTAAGACTCTGCCCATCTCAACTTTGTCATGTAAAAAGAAATTCACACATTAGGAAAAGTACACAATTTCTTCATTATGAGATGGCACCCTGTGATATTTGCCTTGCCCTGGTTGCTGTCCACCCATGCTACACCACAAAGAGGGGGGACACTTGGGTATGGAAGGCTGAGGTCTTCCAAAGTTCATGGGTGGGCATGTGCAGCCTCTACACCCCAAAAAATCACCCATCACAATCGATGCTTTCAGTGCCTGTAGGGACGTAAGACTCTGCCCATCTCAACTTTGTCATGTAAAAAGAAATTCACACATTAGGAAAAGAACACAATTTCTTCATTATGAGATGGCATTTTTTCGAGGGCCATGGCTGTTTTTTCATATTTTTTGTGCACTTTTCCTAATGTGCGAATTTATGAATTTTAGCTTATGCACGCTATTTCCCATATTGATTAACCCATGTTTCTGTGTACTTGTTAATTGTACAGTTTTTGCTATTTGCACTTTAAACGATGCATTCTGCCCATCTCAACTTTGTCATGTAAAAAGAAATTCACACATTAGGAAAAGAACACAATTTCTTCATTATGAGATGGCATTTTTTGAGGGCCATGGCTGTTTTTTGTGCACTTGTCCTAATGTGCGAATTTATGAATTTTAGCTTATGCACGCTATTTCCCATATTGATTAACCCATGTTTCTGTGTACTTGTTAATTGTACAGTTTTTGCTATTTGCACTTTAAACGATGCATTTTTCTGTGTGCAATTTATCTCTCCAGTCTGTCCTCCACACTTCACAAATGTGTGAATGTTCAAGGAGAGGTGCACAAAATTTTATAATTTATTTTATTTTGCACCCAAGAGGTGCACACACACACACACACACACAAGGATTTCCAAATCTAAAGATGTTTGCTGGAATCTTGTGTGTTGCAAATGTGGCATGTAAGGGTTCAGTGGTTGGAGACCTTAGTGTTTGCCTAGTGATGGTGTCCAGCTTGCAGTTATGAGGATTGCCACATTAAAAGCAACAGGATTTCTCCTTGTACAAAGGATCTGTAGACCCCCCATGCACAAGTGGAGGGGAAAAAGAAACCCAAATCTAAAGATGTTTGCCGGAATCTTGTGTGTTGCAAATGTGGCATGTAAGGGTTCAGTGGTTGGAGACCTTAGTGTTTGCCTAGTGATGGTGTCCAGCTTGCAGTTATGAGGATTGCCACATTAAAAGCAACAGGATTTCTCCTTGTACAAAGGATCTGTAGACCCCCCATGCACAAGTGGAGGGGAAAAAGAAACTATGCACAGAATGTTCTTCATGTCACTAAAAAGCAGCAAGATACTGGTAAGTGGCTTTTCAGGGTCTCAGGGAATGGTCTTTCCCAGTTCAGTTTGGAGATGTCAGGTAGAGAACATTGCACTTTCCCACATACAGTGTATAGTTCGGTCACTGGACTGTGGACCTTTGGAGGTGGTTTGTTTTACAGCCTTACAGCCTGTTTCTCATTGGCACATTCTCACTTTAAAAAGCAAACTGGGTAAAAATGACCAGAGCTGGATGTGGGGCAGAATGAAGGGAAGCTTGCTTTCTAACCTGTGTTGTGTGAAAATAGTTGACATCACAACAAAACATGAAAGCACTGGAGTCTCAAGCCCACTTTTCAGCCTCCATGAAACTTGGAAGCACCCTTTTTATTTTATTTTTATGTTTTATATTTTTGGACTACAGCATCCAGAAGCTTCAGGCCAAGAATGGGTGATGTTGGCAATTCTACTCCAGGAAAGGAACATTTCTAAACTCTGCCCAAAACCCTTTGGGAAGGCATCAGCTGGGGAGGGGGGGAATAAGCACAGGTCCATGTATAGTTTTGTATTTCCCCAGGCTTTGGTCCAACAAGGTGGGGCGAGCATTGTGTTATGGCCTAATCACTGCTCCCAAAAACTTCCAGGACTGGAAATAGTAATCGTTTCACCAAAAATATTTTCCCTCTAAAAGAGATTGTGGGTTGCAAAAAGCCTCCTGGGGGCTGCCTTGGCCAACTAGTGATTTTTTTTAT